ACATGTCACACAATGCAAGCTAGGGGGCCCGGGTACCGAAACTAGTGAAGTGCGTTACACTAGAGGTACCCAAAGCAATGCACCAGTGGCAAAACCAATCCCAAACAGACCCTAGGAAGGTTTGAAACAGTGAAAAAATAGCCTAAAATGATAGCTCGGAATGCAACGAAATGAAACTCATTCAATGGCCGGCAAATGAGGCATACAAGCCCGACTGTCAAACGCATTTAAGGAGTGCAAAACATGGCAATGTAGCATTCATATAGGCTCTGAAATATGATGCAAAATAGACCCAAAACATGAACACACCTCAGTATATGCATGGAATGGACCTCAAAACTCAAAGTTAAGCATGGGTATTGAACTACAAGCGTACAAAACAAACATCATTCAACTATGAAACTTGAAAAAAGAGCTAGGGCAGTCCAAAATAAGCACAAAATCAGTTTAAGGCATGGCCAAAAAGTGTTAACATGAAGGGTCAAAACAATGTGCAACATAAGCGAGTGAACCATGAGTTGTACTACACCTATATGAAGCATATGAGATCTTACTAAACCAGCCAAAAATAAAAGCATGCCATGCCAAAATATGCCCAAATACTCACTGAAACTCAGTCAATGCATGCAAGAATGATGGGCTCCTTTGGAAAGCCATACAAGGGGTTGTTCTACACATACATGATGGACACACCAAATGGTAAAACTACCTCTGGAAAAAGGTTCTGAGGGTCCTAAAACCCACTAAAAAGAGCCTGAAATGGGTCTAGGAAACATGCAAATAAAGGCCCATTTAAAAGGCCTTGAATGGGGTTATTCTACACATGCATCATAGACACAAAATATTGCCAAAGGGGCTCCTGACAGAGTCAAGGAAGACCTTAAAACTCACAAATAATGGCCTGAAACAAGACTTCAAAGCATGTAAAATGGAGCTCCTTTGGAAGGCCAATAAAACTAGTAAAGAGAACAAGGGGTGAGAGGGTCACCCCTCTCTGATTTTGAAGCTCAAAAACACATATTGACCACTGAAAATCCACTGGATTTCAGTGGCCAAAAGGCCAAACCAAGGCCAATGCAAATGCTCTAATGCATAGCCCTAAACATGAGGAAATGGAGCATACAAGGGGGAAGATGACCCCAAACAGAAAAAAGCTCTTAAACTAACATGTTTAGAAGATCAAAAAAAGACTTTTTTCAGTTTATGTTGAAGTCCAAAAATGCTTTCAAATAGGGCTAAAGAATGGAGCAAAATAATGTCAAAAATGGGGGAAATGGAGACTTACCCTTGTAGCATAGCAATGCAGCAACTTCTGGACCAAGAAAGTGGGCTCTCAACCTCTGAAAATCAGTTCCAAGGTAGTTGAATGGATGGTGGAGGTGGTAGGCTAGGAGGTGTATTGTAAATAGTGCAAGAACAAAGGGGTTTGGAGCTTGGAAGAGAGAGATATGGAGGGAAATGTATGTATGCTCTAACCAAAGGGTTCAACCCTAGCAATGGAAGAGGAGGCCTCCCTTTATAGAGAAGAGAGGCCAAAGCTTCTCTAAGAAGCTTCAAACCAAGCTCAAAGATCCTCCATACACGTGTATGGAGGATCACTTCTGAGGCTTCCAGCTGGCACAGCTGGCTTACACTCAAAGAGACCAAAAAGCAGGAAGCAGGCCGACTAGTTAAGGTGGTTCGCCGGCCACTCCCCCAGGTCGGCCGACCAGGGGTCAAAAGGTTCAAGGAAAAATACTGGCCGGCCACCCCAGAAAGGTGGCCTCCCAAATGAGTGCAACACAGTTGTATGGTGGAAAACCAGAAAATATGACCTAAGAGAGAGAAAAACCAGCTTTTTAGCAAGGTTCAAAAGGGTCAAAAAGAATTGCTGGTTGGACTACCCATATTGGTGGCCTCCCAGATGAGCACAACACAATGGTGGTATGAAAAACCAGAAATTGTGGCTCAAAAGTAAGAAAAACCAGCTTTCTGTCAGAAAAACCAACTAGAAGAGAGAGAAAAAGAGAAAGCTGGTTTCCAAGGGGAAAAGGTGGCCTCCCACCATACTACCACCTCCCTAGCAATGAAAATAGGGTCCCTACCAAAAATGGACCAAGACGGATGCAAAACGAAGGTTCAGGGGCCAAAACGCGCAGTCCGGGGCCCCGAAAACAGGCTATTAGGCACCGGAAGTGGTGTATGACCACGAAGGTGGTCTCCCGGACCACAGTGTCCCTCTAAAGGGAGGAAACAAGGTGTGTGCCAAAAACCAGAGCAAATTGAGGTAGTTAAGCGGTCCCGAATAGAGGCACACGGCCAACAGCTCCGAAAACTGAAAACTGGGCTCCAAACGGGAAAAATTGCCTACAACCACGAAACGTAGCCTATAGCCATTGAGAGATGGTCTACGAGACCTCTCCCTCCCTTCGGAAAGAGAAAACAGGACCTACTTCGCAAATCGAGGCAAAGCACAAAAGAGCCCCAAAGTCCGGAGGCAAGGCTCTCAGCCGAGACTCCGAAACCCCAGAACGAGCACAACATTCGTATCACCGAGCGCTCAATCGATGATGTCTGAGTCTTAAGGCCGGTCAAAAATGGGGTGTCTATAGTAACCAACCATAATCAACAAACCCAAACCAAAAATACAACCGAAATCTAAAACATGCCAAAGCCAACAGATAGAAATACTAAAAACCAGCCAAAAAACAAAACAAAGACAGCAATAAAGCCCTCTGATGGAGCATCCAGACAGCAGACCACACACACTGGCAAGAAGCAGATCATCAATCAAGCAAGTAGATCAGCAGCAGGACATCCCTGTAGACATCCCATTTTTGACCGACCTTAAGACTCAGGCGTCACCGATTGAGCGCTTGGTGATGTTGCATATCGTGCTCGTTCAGAGGTTTCAGAGTCTCGGCTGCGAGTCTCGCCTCCGAACTTCCAGACTCTTTCATGCTTTGTCTCGGTTTGCGAACCAGGCTCTGTTTTCTCTGTTTTCTCTTCCCGAAGGGAGGGAGAGGTCTCGTAGATCATCTCTCAGTGGCCGTAGGCTACGTTTCGTGGTGGTAGGCCATTTTGCCCGTTTGGAGTCCGGTTTCTGGTTTTTCGGAGCCGTTGGCCATGTGCCTCGGTTCGGGACCGCTTAACTACCTCCGTTTGCTCTGGTTTTTGGCATGCATCTTATTTACTCCCTTTTGAAGGACACTGCGGTCCGAAAGACCAACTTCGTGGTCGAACACCACTTCCGGTGCCTAACAGTCAGTTTTCGGGGCCTCGGGCTGCGCGTTTCGGCCCCCGAACCTTCATTTTGCATCGGTTTCGGCTCATTTTTTGTGGAAACCTTATTTTCACTGCTAAGGAGGTCGTAGAAGGGTGGGAGGCCAGTAATTGTTCTGACAACCAGTTTTATTCCTCCATCGCGCTCCGTCGCCCGTTTTTCTCACTTGAAAGCCAATGTTGACCACCCTAAGGCCACTTTTTCCAGCCCTAAACCACATATTTGTGTTGTACACACCTGGGAGGCCACCAATATCACATGGCCAGCCAGTAATTGTGTTTGACCCTTTTGAATCCCTCCAAAAAGTGGGCTTTTCTCTCTCCTGGTTTACTTTCTCTAATTTTTGACCACATGGTTGTGTTGTGCACACATGGGAGGCCACCAATCTGGGGTGGCCGGCCACTAATACTGCTTGAACCTTTTGACCCTTGGCTGGCCGGCCATGGGGAGGGCCGGCCGACCACCTGCAACTTAAATACCAGGCCGGCCTTGCTCCCCTCCACTGGTACATTACAAATCTGTATTTTGTTTCCCCCCAGATTGAGTATCCGGGGGGCTGCACTTTTGGGGGGAAATTTGAAATCCATTTCCCCCCTTTTTTCCCACACTCTTGCCTATATATCCAGGCCCTCCAACTCCCTTTTGAGGGGTTACAAAAATTGGTTCTAAGCCTCTTGCATTCAATCCCTCTTCCCTTCTATTCCAAACATCAAAACCCTTTTGTTCTTGGACCATTCCTACACCCTTTACTCTACAACCCATAGCACCCCTCCTCCTCACTCCATTCCAGCAGCTTGAAGGCCATTTCCAAAGATTAAGAGTCCCCAAACTTGGTCCAAAGGCTGTCAAAGATTGGTTCTTCAAGGGTAAGTCTTCTTTTCCTCTTTTCTTGCTTTATTTTGATCTATATTCTAGCTCCTTGTGTTCGCATATTTGGGCTGAGACCCTAACTGAAAATAGTCTTATTTTAAGCTCTATTTCATGTTTGATTAAGGGTTTCTTCCTGTTTGAGGCTTCTTTTTTACACTTTGTGTTAAAAGCCTCTTTTAGGCCTCTTTCAGGCCTCTTTCTTGCATAGTATTTTAGGCCTATTTGTAAACTGTTTCGAGCTTTGCTATAAACTGTGAGTTGCCTTATTTTGAGCCCCTCTTCAGCTTTGTTGAAGGGATCTTCACTGTTTGAGACTTTCTTCTATCACTTGCCTCTTTATCCCTCTTTTGGCTCCTTTGTTTGCATGTTTTTTTAGCTCCTTGTGCTTGTATTTTTGGGCTCCGATCCGAACTGTAAATAGTCATATTTTGACCCCCTCTTCATGTTTGATCAAGGGTCCTTTGCTGTTTTAGGCTCCATTTTTTCTCTTTGTGTTTAAACCTTCTTTTAGGCCTATTTTTGCATAGTGTTTTAAGCTTACTTGTGCACTGTTTTGGACTTGGTCATAAACTGTAAAGTGCACTATTTTGAGTCCCTCTTCAACTTTGTTGAAGGGGCTCTTCATTGTTTGGGTCCGGCAGCTGCCACTTGCTTCTTTGTCCCTCTTTTGGGGCCTTTTTTGCATGATAGATTAGCCCTACTTGTGTTTGTTTTTGGGACTTGTTATAAACTGGAAATATGCATGTTTTGGGACTTCCCTGAATCTGTCTTCATGCTTCATGATCAAATAATGCATGCTTTGTATAGCTATAAGTCATTCCACGTGCCTAGTTTCGGGTTTCGGGGTTCATTTCATGCATCGATGGTTTCCTGAAATGACAGTACGGATTAAATAGTTGAGTTAATCAGAAAATGACAGGCAGTGTATTTCTTCTGATAGTTAAACCTTCTGGTCATTTAAGATTTCTATAACGAAGTGCCTTTTGGTTAAGCCTTATCCAGAAAAGTTATTATAATGTGTGTTCTTATTGGGTGGAGAACCATTCTTCTATCTTATGCTACCAAGCTATTGTTTCTGAGGGCCAATGCTTGCTAAGACCTAAATGAAAGTTCTTTCCTCTATTATCTTTGTGTTTTTTTCCCTCCTTTCTAATGGCTTGGGGTTGCATATACTCAAAAGGGGTCTTAGTTGATTTAATTTGATTTCAATTTTGTTTGGCCACCTCATTCATTTTACTTTTTCAGTTTGAACTTGTTTCTTGGCTCATTTAGCGTAAACTATGCAGAGGAGCACAATATATTATCAGGGCATTTGGCATGCAATTCATACCATTTGCAGAGATGAAAGTTTTTTTGGCCTGTACAAAGGACTTGGAGCAACATTGCTGGTGAGCTTTATACTGTGTTTCTGTTCATTCTTTCCTCCCCCATATCTTTGACTCTTGTTCACCATTGAGATGATTTGAAAAATGCAGAGTGTTGGACCCAGTATAGCAATAAGCTTCTCTGTTTATGAGACACTGAGATCTTATTGGCACTCTCAAAGGTGAGACTTGTTAGTTCTTTCTATCAAATGAGGTATTTCACATGCAAATCTGTGTGTTGGCTCCTTGGTGTTCTGGTGTATGATTTCTGACATTTTTAGCATCTTGATATTAGGCCAGGTGATTCTACTGTCATAGTTAGCCTTGCTTGTGGCAGTCTTTCTGGGATTGCATCATCAACAGGTGTGTGATCTGCAACCTGCAATGCTCCTTGAAATTTATACCTCCTTCATAAGATATATATTTTGCTGAACATAGTTTTAACCTCGGAATCATGCTTAGCAAAGAAATGTTCTACTGATTTATAATCTTCTTATTTCCTATTGCCTTGACCCTTTGCTTCTCATTTTGTGCTTGCCTTATCACAAATGACTGATGTGTGCTTCCAACATAAAAGAATTTCCAACTGATTGCAATGCATTGCATTTGAGGTTTAGTTTGAGGCGCTAAATTTGCATTACATTTCTTACCTAGGGCAGCAAACGAACCGAGCCGAGCTTTGCTGAGCTCGAGTTCGGCTCGTTTACTTATTGAGCTCGTTTATTGAACTCGAGCTCAATAAGGAACTAGGCTCGAGCT